TCAAGTAATCAAAAGTTTAAAAGGAAAAACTTACAATCAGTGCAAAATAACACCAGCCAAGGTATACAGAATAAGAAGAAAGAAAAAAAAATAAGCAAACAAATATAATTACAAGTAGATAAATAAATAAAGGTCATTCCTGAACCTGTGTAGATGGTTGTTTTTTTGTGTGAGATTCACCTTTTGTTCTTAAATAATTGAACTGCAAGTTTATTTCCTTGATTATTTAAAGAACTCTTGATTAGAAAGCTGTAAAAGGTCAGTGCCTGTTAGCATTTTTCACATATGACTTCTTTTACATCTAAATTTCACAAAACCCGAATCTATGGTGGGCAGCCAATCAGAACAAGAGAACACAGAAGATGAACTGAGAGGCTGCTCCAAGCCCCTACATCAGATAAATGAGGATTATTCTGAACGCTGAAATCATGCAAAGCTACTTTAGTAGAATCCAAGAATAAAAATATGAAATAATTTCAATAGTTCCTGTTTAAACATAAATTGTGCAGCTTAAAATGGGAATTAATGTCACTGGGAGTACACTAACTGGAAGTGTTATTGTTGTGGAGCAGACAACCACACCCTGCAGGTAGCCTAATCCTTCCTCATTCTCATGCTTCCTCATAATTCTTACCTTTATTTACTTTTTAGCTGAATGGCTACTTGAACACAATGTTTCTGAAGCACATTCAATAACATACTTTTGTACCTATGACCTTAAATGAAGGTATTTTGCCTCCGCCTGCTGTTGGAGCTACATTGTGTACCCCACATTTGCACATATATACTGGTAGAGTACTAATACTGCAGTGCAGAGCAGAACTAATTAGTCTGTTTGTCTCATTTTTATATCATTGTGCAGTGCTGTGAAAGTTTCTCTAGGCAGCGTTTTACTGAATTGATGCAAACATGCATGTGATTACCAGGGTTTTAATAGTTTTGCAATTTTCATTAGTTTTTATTTTATTTAGTTTTGACTTCAGATTTTCAATTTTATATCAGTTTTAATTAGTTTTTACCAATTGTTTGCTAGTTTAGTTTAGTTTTTTTTTTTTTTGAAAATCCTTAGTTTCAGTTTAGTTTTGATTAGTTTCAGTTATAGTTTTAGTTGTGTTT